AGGTGTTCGCTTGTAAAAACTGAGAGAAATGCATATTAAAGTTACAGTATTGCTCATCCCCCCCCCTGTTATCAGTTATCTGGCCTGACTGATTGTATTGGTTCAGTCTTGTGAGTCTGATACATTTAAAAAATCCCTTAGGGTGAGTCTTCGCTTCCCTAACTGAATAAATGAACCCCATCCCTTCATACGGGGCGTTTCTATCGTAGAAGCTGATATTAACTGCATTATCTGTCTAGATCAGCGGTTCTTAACCGGGGGGGGGGGCACGCCCCCCTAAGGGGACCTGAGTAATTTCCAGGGTGGGCGCGAACCTAGAGCAAAAATAAGGAATGGCCTTAACAGGTGTGTGTGTCCTTTTTTTTCGTGGGGGTCTCGCTCCCACAGATACTTCAAAATGTCGCAAATGGTAACTATGTCAATCAAAATGTGAAATTCAACTAAAAGTTACTGAATTAAGGTAGTAATAATGTCGGGAAGTGTACGATAATTTGATGAAGAAACGATAATTTTGAGGCTCCAGTACAATAATTCACATTTAAAAATTTGTCAACACTGACTGCGACGGTTTCAAGTGCCAGTCGCCCGCGACGTCCGCCCGTGACAACTTTCTACCTCTCACATTCACGCATTTCTTTCTTCAATTGAGCTATGTTATAGCGTAGACTTTTTATGAACAAAACACTAATGATAATTACTTATATCAATTAAAAAGAATGCTAATTGTTTCGTTTTTATAACGAGAATGCATTTTGCGAACTCAAAAATAGATTGTAAACCCGCGGTGTCTACTTACTGTAGAGTGATGTTTATGGCCATGTGGTGGTGTTTATGATCATGGTTTTAGATTTAGAATTTTATATGAAGGAAGGAGGGGGCCGTGGAGAAGAGGACCAACTGCTGTAGGGGGCGCGACCCTAAAAAGGTTAAGAACCACTGGTCTAGAACTAGATGATCCTTAACACATCTTCCCAGGGCAACAATTCCCTGCCAACTCCCCTTCTCGGCATGTGCAACACATATGACATGCAGGCATTCCTCCCTTCTCCTAGTACGATCTACAGTATAGCTGCCTGAAACTTATACCAAGTAGCTCTTCACTCCTACACCTGACAATATCGTTGCCTCCTGCACTGAGGCAGATAATGGTTTTGTTACCATTGCCAGACATGCTATTGTTCATCCTATTAACTATATCTCCCTCCCCCCAACATCTGGTAAAAACGCCTCCATCCTTATTACATAAGACACGATCCACGTACTGTACCTTACCTGCGTATCACCAACTATTGAAGGTTTTCTTACCTCAGTGTATGGAGTGCGGCGGTTGAGTGGATGCTGCACTGTACAGCAGTGATTTATAATGGCGGCTGTTATTATCATTGTTTTGTGTGGCATAACCCGGTATTACACTAACTACGCCACTAAGCATAACAATGCATATCACACCAGCAGTTATCACAATCGAAAAATTGGTCCAGACAAGATTAGGTCAAACCTCTAAATAACTCACCATGTGATAGGATATTCTACACACAATTTCAGGACAACTATTCACTCTCAGTATATCACAATTTATGAAGAAGTCTGAACTATTTATAAGTACATAAGAACATAAGAATATAAGAAAATAAGGAGTCTGCAATAGGCCGGTTGGCCTGTGCATGGCAGCTCCTGTCGAGAGTTACTACCACTCTCTATCATCCATGAATCTATCTAGCCTCCTTTTGAAATTTTCCAGGGTTCCCGCACTTACTACAAAGTTGCTAAGCTTGTTCCACTCGTCCACCACCCTATTTGTGAACCAGTTTCTTCCTATCTCCCTCCTAAACCTAAACTTATCCAACTTTAATCCGTTGCTCCGAGTCCTATCCTGCTCGGATATTATAAGAACTTTATCTATATCCCCTTTATTGATTCCTTTCACCCACTTAAATACTTCTATCATATCTCCCCGCACTCTTCGTCTTTCTAGGGAATGCAAGTTAAGTTTCTTTAACCTATCCTGATATGGAAGGTTTCTAAGTCCCGGAATCATTTTCGTCATTCTTCGCTGCACCGACTCTAGTGAATTGATATCCATTCTATAATAAGGGCACCAGAACTGAACCGCATAATCGAGGTGCGGCCTGACTAGCGCAAGATATAGTTGCAATAAGACCTCTGCACTCTTGTTACTTACACTTCTAGATATAAAACCCAATACTCTGTTTGCCTTATTTCGAACATTAACGCACTGTTTTCTAGGCCGTAGGTCCGGGCTTACAAGTACCCCTAGGTCTCTTTCACAAGTCGACTTCTCTAGGTTGATGTTGTTAAGGCTGTATACATTATAAGTATTTGTTCTTCCAATATTAAGTACGCTGCACTTGCTGGTGTTGAATTTCATTTGCCATTTTTCAGACCACCCCTGCAGTTTATTTAGATCCTCCTGTAATGCATTTGCATCCTGCCCTGAATTAATTTGCCGCCCTATTTTGGTGTCATCCGCAAACTTGCTTATGTCACTGCTGATCCCAGTATCTAAATCGTTTATGTAGATTATGAACAAGAGTGGGCCTAGTACTGACCCCTGGGGAACGCCACTGGTTACACGGCCCCACTCAGATTTAATACCATCTACGCTGACCCTCTGCGTTCTATCGGTGAGCCATGATTTTATCCAATTTAAAACTTTCCCCTCGATACCATGAGCCTTAATTTTTCTCAGAAGCCTCTGATGCGGTACTCTGTCAAATGCTTTGCTAAAGCCTAAGTAAATAACATCGTAATTTTCATCATTATCTACTACCTCGAAGACTTTCCTAAAAAACGTTAGCAGATTTGTTAGACAAGATTTTCCCTTTGTAAACCCATGTTGAGAGTCGTAGATTAATTTGCTAGTCATTCATATCATCCTGATCTACAGTAATTTATCTCTCGCAATTAATATGTAAAAAGTTAACATTACATATCTACTGATAAAATCACATATGTATTACAATAACTTACAAACTTCCATAGATATTTCACTTTCTTCAATAAATTTTAATTGAGTTAAAACATTTTAAGACTCACCAAATCATTTCAAAATGATCGTCACTCATTAATTTTCTTCATACAATACTTCATATTTCTTAAAAATCAAAGATAACATTACAATACCAGAATCTATCATATTTGCTTAAAAATGCTGAACTAGGCATAAAAATCCAACACTCGCCTTTTGTTCCAGTGATCGGTAGCTCAACCCTCGGACACTCCCAGTTCACCTCGATGTAAATGGGTACCGAAGTTTACAACTTGGGGAAATAAATGTGGTCGAGTGCAGTACCAATCATGCTGCCTCCTTGTACAGTATATTGAAAGCTTATTATACAGTGTGCTGTATCTAACAAGGTAATCATGTCAATAGGACCCACTTTCACTTTTCCACCTTCAATGTATACCTAATCTTTATCATTCTCGTGGATCATTTCGTCACCCAGAAGACAAAAAGAATTATAACACTTAGCTGCTTTAGTCATCTTTACCACAGGCTTTGTCGCCCCTCTTAGCGATTTTCCAATACCTAACCTATCTCAGTTTCTTCCAGCCTTACATTCTCTTCCTCCAACTCCAAATTTTCCTCCTTCATCTGCTCGAGCTCAGCCCTCAGAGAAGCACAGAGCTGTTCCCAGCTGGCACGAGAAATGACTACATCACTTGGATGATGCCAGGAACTAATTTAACTTAACCTTTCCTCTTGTGAGGTCACTGGTCGTACTTCTGCAAAATGGTTGTTAAAAAATGTAGAGCAACTTAACCTAACTCAACGGGTCCTAAACGAAGAGAACCTAAGCTAAAACACACCCCCGTATTGTTGTATCAAGTAAGAATAGGTAGCCTTTGGCTACCTATACAGTGGTGGCCAACATTACGTCCTTGGGTTAAGTTTTACAGCTAATAGTTTGTGGGTTTTTCAGGCACGACCAAGATGATGAAGGTTTGTATCTGAGTTCTTTCTCTGTTATATTTGGAGTTTTTAATGTTATTATTCATTTATGCACTTATAGTAGATGTAATAATAATTTATAGCCTTATTTCTAAGGCATAAGTACATATACTATACAATACAATAACAAGGTACAGTATATTACACCAGCCACTACAAGTGGTCTTTGTTACTCGACAAAAATATATATATTTTCATGAGCGATAAACCTGAGAAACATCCTGGGTCTACAGTATGTACTGTACAGCCACATAAGAACGGCTATTACTTATTTTCTGCCTTTTCGAAAGGTAATCAGTATGCTTATCAATCAACCGTTGTCAATCTTTTAACATGAGGTCATGCTCAAGTAAAGGATGTGGAGTTCCTCAAAGAGATGAATTAAAAATTATTCATTCATTATAGACATCCAAGACAACTTAAATGTTAAAAGTAACAACAACCATGACATGACTAGATACGGTATTTTTTTTATAACAGCCAACATTTATAAATTCGTATATCAGCTGATCGAATCTGCTGAGGTACATGAGCTTCTGAACATACAGTATGTGCTACACAGCCGACCATAGACCGTGAGACATACTGGGAAACAGTGTAGCCAACACCAATACTGGGAAGCAGTGTAGCCAATACCAACACTGAAACAGTGTAGCCAATACCATAACTGTGAACCAGAGTAGACAATACCAACACTGAAACAGTGTAGCCAACACCAACACTGGGAAACAGTAAAGCTAACACCAACCCTGGTAGACACTCGCGTATTTTATCAGACACCGCCGAGGAGCATAAAATCTTCAGTTATGAAACGTGGATCAGAATCATTGAGACGACTTAATTAGAGCAAAGATCAGTCAACCAAGCCAAGGATGGCGTGCGTGTGTGTACAGTGATGCAGCAGGAAAGAAACATCACCGGGAATGTAGGTGTGGATGTGTCTAGGTGTGGCTGAGCCGGGGAACCTTTAACCAAGGCCTCGACATCCCCTCCACGAGTTATATAAGGCGTCTCTTTCCCGTGACAGGCAGTGTAGCGACTCTCCCCACTACATCATGAAGACTCTGGTAAGTGCCTCAGTCTTCCCTTCACCCGTGAATATATAATTTTTTCCTTTAAAGTCCATCCGTAATTCATTAACAGCGGTGCAAGTGCAGTGATTCCTACAGTGTATCAGCAGCAAAATGTGGTGGGTGACTTATGATTAGGCTGCATGAGCTGTCTTGGGTTTATTTCAAAACAAAGGTGTTACTTATATAGATTGACATCATCTCTCATTTTCCATTAGAACTACATTTGATTCGTCATTTTATTAAAATGTTCTTCATAATTTCTATCTGCAATATTAAAAAAGTATGTTGTAGTTGTAGTTCTACTGTAATTTGGTGCTTCCATAGCGAGGCTCAGTAGCAGTTCACCTCGTTTCTACAGTATGCTGAAAACTAACTTTTAAAATTTATGAGATTTATTATCTCATGGTGTACACACTCAAGCTTCGCTAGTTTTAAAAAAATGCATTTTTTTGTGGCTGCTGACAATAATTTCATGAATGTTGTTGCTGTTGGTAATTTAGGTTCACAACTTTGGAAATTTAAGAGGCAATTTTCTGGCTAAGTATTTTGTTTTTATGGTGAGAAGCGTTAAGTTAGTTCGTTTTTAGTGAAATGTTGTACTATAAACACTTCAAGTTTATCATCAACAAATTCAGATTAACAAAGGAAGTCACAAACTTGTCAACGGTGTTTACCGCCCTACCCTAGCGAGTTATTGAACACTCATTTTTTCCTGGAGGCCAAACCTCACCGTATTGACATTATCACTAATAACCTTACTGTAAGGTAATTCAGAATTATTTACTGATGTATCTGGTTCAGAAAAAATATTTTATTCTTGAAACGTATTTTAAAGTTATGGTTATTTTGTGTTATTGCATACATAATATTTCTGGTGCTAGGCTTTTCTCTGATCAGCGATTTGTCCACTTGACTATACAGTTTAGACCGCTTACTCTGTACCACACACGCCCCACACCTTTTTACTCTTTTACCGAGTCTTCCATATACAAGACGATGTCTACCTTGTTGGTGTACAGTTGTCCGTACATCACTGTCAGCCACGACCAGTAGCAGGAACAGCAACAATGTTGCTCCACCACAGAGGACAGAACACTGTAGAATATGATTGAAGGTGAAGCCAGCCATTCAGTAATTCAGCTTTATGCCCAGCTTTCGACACTAAAAAAGATACAAGTCATGCTAGAAGGAAAGGGGAATAAAGAATCTGTACAATATCCTATATAAGATATCCTAAGATGTCACACTTCCTAATACACAGTGCCGGATTTAGACCTGTGGAGGCCCATGGGCAGCCTCTTTGTGGAGGCCCCCCTCATTATAACTACCCAAGAGGGTGGGGTGGCGAGTGAAGCGAGCCTAAACATCTGGGAGTTCCGGGGGGCGCTGTAAGCCCCCCGGGAAAATTTTGAAATTTGAACACTTCTTTGGAGAATTTTGAAGCCATATGCAGTTATATCGAGGAAATTAGAACATATTGTAATATGTGGAGGCCCCCAGATTGTGGAGGCCCCTGGGCAGCTGCCCACTTTGCCCACTCCTGAATCCGGCCCTGCTAATACACCTCAATTTTAGTGTTAAGTCAAAGTAGTGATGTATGCATGGTATCTCCTGCGACTGACACCAACATTTTCCACAGGTTTTGTTTGGCGTGATTGCCGCGGCCCTGGCTGCTCCCATCCCTGAAGCCTCGTCTGTGCTGGCCGTCCACGGTGCTCTACCATATGGTGTAGCTCCTGCAGGTGTCCATGTGGCTGCTGCCCCCTTGCCCCATGCTGTATCTTATGTTGCTCCTGTTGCCCATGCTGCTTCCTACGCTCCTGCCCCAGTACCCGTCGCTCTGCCCCCAGCACAAGTGCAGGTGCCCATCACCCGTACTCATGTGGAGGTGCCTGTTCACCAGAAGGTCCACTACGGCACTCAGAATTACGTAGCCGGAGCCACCACCACCATCCATAAGCCATCCCTGGCTGCCCCCGCCATCGCACCACCCACCGTCCTCCTCCCCAAGGTCACTCACAATGCCCCAGAGGTCACCATCCAGCACCAGGAGATCCCTGTCGAGAAACACACCCCTAACTTCGTCGACACCCCCTACCACGCTGGTACCATCATCCAGTACACTAAGCCTGAGATCAAGGAGATCAAGGTGCCCACACCATATGCCCAGCCAGTACCCGTGCCTCACCCCGTGCCCGTCGCTCAGCCCGTGCCCACTCCAGTGCACTCCGTCCACCAGGCTGCCCACTATGGTGCACATGTCGCTGCCCCCGTGAGGTATGGTGCTGTCTTCCAACACGGTTATTAAGAAAAGAAGTCAGGATCCTCCGTAGATATTCACGCCAACACGAGTCTCTCTGATGTAGATATTCTATCATATCACGTTTTATAAATAAATGAAAAAATCAGCTACCTTTACTTACCTAGACTTCAGCCAAAAGATGCCTGAGCGAGTCCAAAGACAGGAGTATCCAAGGCAACACTAAACTAAAAATGCAATAGTTAACTCTGTTATGCCATAAGAACATTCATCAGTTTGCAACACTTAAAACTGCTATTAGAAAACGGCCGAGCCTGATTATCTTACCATAGCGCACTGACCTCTGTTCTCGACATACTGGATCCAACACACATCCACTATCAACAGACACGGGAGACCAAATTAAAAGTTGAGAGGAAATATAGCTTAGTTTACTACACAACGGAAAACCAAGAACTGGACCAATAAAAGAATTTAGATTTGAAGTACTTCTGGGGTTTTAAATGGAATATTTATGGTTATAACAAGAAAAAACTTGTATAAAAGATATAGATATAGGTAGAATATTTAGTTGTAGGAATGTAAAGTGAGGAAGTTTGGTAGCGTGGCCGGTTAGTTATTTACTGTATATTATATTCGTTGGGGGAATTTTCTAAACCACCGACTCTAAGTACAGCTATATATTATTCACTCAATGACACACACACACACAATAATAGAACATTATATTTACGTTACGAGACATTGACTCCTGGTTTATAATACATCTTTCCTCTTTCATCAGTTTCTATCATATTCCAGATGAGTTTTTCTAGCCCCATCTGAGTTTCTTCTATACAGCTTCATTTTCCGTCATATTCCAGATAAGTTTTTCTGTTCCATCTGCGTTTCCTCTATGTGTAGAGCATCATTTTCATATTCCAGATGAGTTTTTTTGTTCCGTCTGATTTTCTTCTATGCAACATAATTTTCCGCCAATCCGGCCGGGGGTAGCAGGTCACACTGGGGGGTGCCATGACTCAGGACGACGTGTGAGGCAGGATACATGGTCCTGGGTTCGCCCTCTGAACAAGAGTATCGGCTGGATCCTTGACCCCCTGTCCCACGCCCCCACAGCTGAAATCCTCTCCCTGGTTCGGCTTGCCAGGGTTTTATGTGTGTTGCTGCATTCCACACGTCTTAACTTCCTAAAGTAGAAAAATATAAAATCTCCTTAATCCTAGACCAAGGGAGGACTTGAAAGAAGTGAAGTGGTGTGTGGTGGGTGTGGTGCTGCATTCATCACCCTGCTTCTCCTCTGCTCGTATGTGCTGTGGTTGAAGTCAATACTTGGTCCATCGTCACCTCTTGATTGCTTCTGTGTCGTAAGGCAACGTCATCCTGGCCGATCACTGCATGCAGCTTGGAAATGCGACGTCAGGTCATGCCCAAGTGAGCTGGTTATCTCCAATATCCGGCTGGCCATGGGGCGGTACTGTGTGTGACATTTGACAGAGAAAGACAATCCTAAAGGGAGGATGGATTAGTTGGACGTGCATCTATAAAAAAAATATTTACTTTATACGTTACGTCAATGTTTGGCAACTATGGTTTCCGTCACGACAATGTTCTCAAGACTGGTTCGGGGAGTGAAGTTCTGCTCACTATGCTGAATATTACACCTTTTCACATATCCGTTGAGACATTGTTACATAAGTATTTGACAAATTTCATAACCGAATGACAAACACATGTCGAATGACAATCTAAAATAACTGTTCGTTCATGCTAACGGAAGTGATTGACATAAGTTATGAAGTTGACAGACGTGAACAATAAACCGACAGTCTACATATAGTTTGAGAATGTAACAATGGGAGAATGACATACCACCAACAGTTATTTTAGATTGTCATTCGATATGTGTTCTGTCATTCGGTTATGAAATTTGTCAAATACTTATGTAACAAAGTCTCAACGGATATGTGAAAAGGTGTATTTATCAACGGGTATTAACGAGTACACTATAAATCATACTAGACTAAAACAAAAAAAAAGACACTGAGTGAAGCTCTGCAAGTATGGCAATATCAAATTACACGAACCATCGATTTCAAAGCATAACTTACGGGACAAAACAGACTGGGGATTAATGAGGTCAAGCTGGGCGGGGCGAGACGGGACGGGTCGGGTGGGGTGCGGTGGAGCGGGGATGGAAGGGTAAGGAGGATGAGGTGGGAATTAGGACAGGGAGGGGGATGTAGGTTGTAAGACATGTTAGGTTTTAACAGTTAGTATAGACACAGCTTTTATCACTAAAACACAATGGGTACATTTAACATTGACCGACAATTAAAATGCACTAGGGACACTGAGAACGTTACAAATCGCGGGGGACTCTAACAAATTATATTAAGCACTGAACATATTCTGGGGCGAGTGTTATGCTAGGAACAATTCGCACATACCACGCTGTACCACATACCACGCTGTACTACACAGGAATCCCTTACTACACACTTTTAAGCAATACCCAAACTGAATTAAACGAAGGATGAGACAAGCCAGGTGTAATGGCTAAGCGAGGGAGGGCGTGGGTTAAGTTAAGTACGCTGCCACCAGTGTAATGACTAAGCGAGGAGGGCGTGGGTTTACGTTAAGTAGGCTGCCACCCTTATAACAAGGGGGATTGAGAGGTAGAAGGTATAGATAGAGTCTTTAGTTGTAGGATTGTAAAGTGAGGAAGTTTGGTAGCGTGGCCGGTTAGTTATTTATCTGTACAAGTATAATATATTCGTTGGGGGAATTTTCTGAACCACCAATTCTAAGTACAGCTATTCATTATTCACTCAATGACACAGACGCATTAATAGCGCATGATATCGAAGTTACTAGAGCATTATATTTACGTTACTAGACACTGACTCTCGGACACAAACAAAATGAATACACTTCCCACCGTAAGTAACTCACCTTATGGATAGCTCTGACAATGACTCAGGTGTGACCTGAGGGAGGCCCAGCGGGTGCTGCTGGACTTTGTCTTCCTCCTCATACACATCTCTACTGTCAAGCCCAACCAACTCAATCCGGGCACAAGGATGAGCATAAGTGCGAGTTCAATCCCTACCATTACTAGCCAACACATGATGGCGTTCTTTATCCCGATCACAGAACTATCAGTCACGAAATAAAAACTACGCTCTGCTACCAGTTGTAACCGGTCGGAATTCTCTCACTTAATTATTGGGTTTATTTAGTATCAGTGGATGGTAATGCAGTGGAAGCGCCCCTCAGAGAAAATACCGAACTTGCACAAACACAATTAATTAAAATTATTCTCCGTGACCGTGGACAGTTAGAGCCTGTGATTAGGGTAAATGAGAGGCACTGTAAAAGATGACACTTCTATTCCCTCCAACACTACAAACACAATCAATAATGGTACACCAACACACTTCTTGGCATGGCTTAAAAGCTACAGTGGGGAACAAAATTTATACATGGTATCAAAAAATATTAAGAAATATTAAATGCATTATGAGAAGACTACTAAGGCAACAGTATTACTTATACCAGAATAAGGAACTCATCTGAAAACAGTTCCCTCGTTACCTTACATCACTTAGTGACATATAAAACATTAGAAAACATCAAGTGCACCAATGAACATGCCTTAAGAGCATCCGACAAAATAATAGCAATCACTGAGAAATAGGAAGTCTCGATTTTAGTCATACTACACTAGAACATGGATCAATCATAGCCTGTCTGGGATGACCCACAAAATACCACAATCGTAACTGTCCTAGAACCCGAAGGGTGTAACTACTAACCTGCCAAGGGGCAGGCATTTACAAGAAACCGAGAAAATCACTCATGACTCATCAGGCAAGCAGGTGCGCCGTTGTTTTTTTGTTAGTACTCTCTTTAGATTTCAGGAGTCATGAATGTCTTTCTCCACCAATACCCGTAAACATGCTTCACACATAGGTTCCGAATGCACCCGTACTTTTAAGGCACTACAGTTTGTCACAACCTTGAAGAAGAACCCCTACTTCCCCCGTGGGGACGTAGGGGGTAAATGACCCAGAACGATCATCAACCAAGAGCGGACGCTGGTCCCACGTAGTTAGTTGTCAGGGGCACTCGTTCACTTCGGGCGCCCCAGCTAAAACCCTGCTAGCCAGTGACCAACACTGACAGCTCAATCCGCTCAAAACCGCGTGGACTGCTCAAACAGTTTCGATCGCGTGGGCTTTCAGAATCCCTGCAAGAGACTCTTTGCAACACTGATGGAAGTGCACGCAACGAGACGAGACCACGTGATCACTTTCCGTGGCAGAGACCCGCAGGAAGACGTCTGTGTGGCCCGGGCGTCGGCGCTTTACTGACGCTTCCAAAGCGTCTCTTCAAGACGCTACCCTGGCCTAGTGACGTCATCACTCACAAACTAAATACCTTCTGTGGGACACAACCCGTATCATCATTGGGTATGAGTTTGCTTGGGAGATTGGTATCCCCGCATCCCCTGAGCAACGCTCTTGTGCATTATGCAGAAGACCCGACAGCAGCACCCTTTTCCACTACCTCCTAAGATGTCCCCACACACAACGCTTCCGTGACGCCTGCTGGACCACCACTCCACGACCCCCTGACGGAGACACGATGATCCTCCCCATACTGACCAGATATTTTGTAAATAATATTAATTATGTGTTAAAGGAATATCCTTCCTTCCTTAGGCTTTAGTAAGCCCCTTTATAATATTTATACTGTATATACTTGTCACACTTGCCAGATGCGTCTGGTGTCATTGTACAGGGGTACCTAGTGACAGCACTAGGATCCCGCTTCCTCTATCAAGGAATAAACAATTGAAATTGTGGGACACAAGTAACATATTTAGACTGAGAAACGATCTATAATAACTTTAAATTTAATAATAATCCCGTACCTTCACGAAACGCGTCCATATTAATTCAATAAAATACATTTAATATTATATAGGCCTAGTTCAAAATGCTCCCACTGCGCTTGGGGGAGGCATTGGATATATATATATATAATATATATATATATATATATATATATATATATATATATATATATATATATATATATATATATATATATATATATATATATATATTTATATTTATTTATTAT